GAAAGGTGAGGGGTTGAAATGGAAGGAAAAGCATTTGCATGGAGCAGTGTCTCAGGTTATTTGTTAACATGTTAAGGTACCTCCCTACAGATCTGGTCCCCTCATCCCCCACCAGTGCTGCTGCTCCCTTGGCTTCATGCAGCAGCAGGTGGGGAAGGTGTGCATGAGAAGTGTTTGCTTGGGTTGTGCAGCTCCATTCAACACTCCCAGTTCAACCCTAGAACACTAGGTTTGAGGCACAGCTGACATTTTTTGCCACTTACATTTGTTAGAGACAAATAACTAAACCAACCTGAAACAGAGGAACTTTGGGAAGTAGAATTCTAAATTCCAAGACCCTACAGGGCAGCTCTTCCCTGCACGGGGCTGGCCCACGAGAGGCTGTGCCACAGGTAACTGGGAGACTCTGTGCTGTTCCCCAGCAAAAGCCCTGTGGGGAAGCCTGGCCCTTGCTGCTTTAATTGCTCCTGGCTAATTAGAGAGCAGCCCTGTTTGCCCACCCACACAGCTCACACCCCTGCACAGGCTGGCACATCATACACTGAACAGACCTTGGCCTCCTCTTCCTCACCCTACCGGAATGTGAAGATATTCGTGCAATTGCAGCCCTGGAGCTCATGAGGAGTAACAAAAACAGTTGCAGAAGACAAGAGACAACCAATTTCAGAAATACAGATACATACACAGCACGAAAACAGGAAACATAACAAAACAAAATATACTTTATTAAAGTTAAGCATGTTAGCACCTCAGTGTAACCTGGAGAAGTGGAAGAGTCCAGCAGTTAACCAGTCCAGCAGGCCAAGGGGCTGAACGTCCTGAAGTGCATTCCAATGGTAGAAAAAGTACCACGACTGTCACGACGCGCGGCCGCAAGAAGCCAGGACACACAACTGGCCTCAGGCATGAGGAGAGACCTTGTGCTGCCTGTTGTCTTGGTGGGAGCATAGAGAACTGCTGGACCAATTCTGTATGTTAAACAAGATGGTGTAGCAGGTATCTGCTTTCCCT